GCTGCACTTGCTTCAAAATAGAAATGTGCAGAATGAAATTGTGAGATCTAGATAGCTGTAGCTGTCATGAAGCTGCATTGAACAAGGAGGTACATACATAAGTACATACACCAATATATGTGTTTTGCACCAAATTTTTTTCCAGTGGATTTTTTTATCTTTTGCAAACAAAAGTTGCAAGCCTCTCTGGGTTATCTGTAACATGCACTTCTATTCAAGCAAAATGTTTTTTGATGATATTACCTGGAGTTATTCAAAATTATGTATCTGAGAATGTGAATTTTTCTTCTGCTTGAAGAGTCTTCCTATAGGAACTGCTGAACCTCCTGGCCTTAGTATCAACACTTCTCAACTCTTCTAGAAGTGGTGAATGCCTCAACCAACTTACTGTTGTGACCTAGGTCACATGGTGTGACTCGGCTGCGGCTCAGCCAGCCGGAGGAGACTACATCCGTCTCCTCTGGGCCACACCTACCGGAATCCACACCGAATACACAGTCTATGCTCCTACAGGTTATGAGCCTGCGATACCGGCTACGCTGAAGAAATCTCGAACCGACGAACCATACCGGACTACCTTTTTGAATCTCGCCGAAGAATCATACCGGACCTATCTTTTATCTCGCCGACGGAGGAATACCGGCACGATTACTTGAAATCTTATATTTTTTTATTATTTCTCACAAAATCTACTTATAAATGGATCCTTCACACGGCGCTTATAATCGAATTCGGAAGTTCTTAGCCGATTTGAATCTTGTTTTAGGACCGGTCTCACATGCAACTACTTACGGACCTTTACCAAATTTCTATCCGATCAGATTTCCTCAAAACCTTGACCTCCGCAATGCTCATCAACAGTTCTTGTCAAAACGACCAACTGCTCATTCGCAATCTTGGAGGAAAACACACTCAAGAATCTGCGCTCAGAACTTCCCTAATGAGCATCGGCTCCCGCGATCAAAGTCAGCAAATAAGCATTACGAGATTGAGAAGAGACCGAGAGACAAAATGAATCAACTGATGAGACAGCGACCAGTCAATAACACTGATATGCCGTACATGAACTATCAGCCACCAAATAAACCCGGACACCACCGCCAAACTCAGACAAACAACCAAAACCAAACTCCTCTGCACAGCCCTGAAGCTGATCATCCATCTATTGAAGCAGTCAAACACAACAAACCTGACTTACAAGGACCTGAAGATTGTGAGAGGTTCACGAGAGTCTGACCTTGGCTTCAACATGAGCGGCGAGTGTCCTAGGTGATTGTAATGATCAAGGCAATGAGTGTCCCAGCAATTGTGATGATCTAGACAACGAGTGCCCTAACGATCTAGATGAACATGTTAACAATCTTTCAGAGCAAGAGCAGGCCTACAAGACAATTTCTGACAACCATGATCCTGAAGTTCTACCTGAGATTGTGCCAGAATCCGATGATCCTCAGGTGACCGAACCAGCTTTTAGCATGGACAACTACAGTGCAAGAGACGTCAATTGCTGGGCTAGGACTCTGTCGGATGATCAATTTGAACAACTACGAATCTTAGGCCCTGCGAGCCGGATTGAATCATTCCGACAATATGCCATCACAAACCTTGATCAACCAACTCAGACTTTTACTCAGATAATGTCATCAACTCCTCAGTCAAATCAAGAACCACTCAGTCAAATCCCAAGTGAAGTAGCTGACAACCACAATCAATATGTTGACTCAACATCCAATGAAACCAACAACCCTTTTCTTCATTCACATCATGTCAACCACCAACCATATCAATCCACCCACTCTAGTTATTATGACTGCTCCAACTACAACATCACTGATCTTGATGAGAATCCATATGACACAGTAGTTCATGAGGATGGTGTTTTGGATGATGGCAGTTTTGGAGATGGTGGACCTGACAATTGCGGTTTTGACACTGGCAAATTTGACGATGGCGGCTTTGACGATGGCGGCATTAACGATGGCGGCTTTGACGATGGCGGTTTTGACAATGGCGGTTTTGATGATGGCGGTTTTGACGATGGCGGCTTTGATGATGGTGGTTTTGATGAAGGCGGTTTTGATGATGGCTATGGTTCCCCTTATTATTAGCCTGTTTCACATTTCAACCCTCCTTTCCCACTTCTCAAAAAATTGTTTTTTATCTTCAACCTGCTCATCAATTTCTACCCATTTTATGTTATTTTTATTATTTATTTTTATCTTTCAGCCTCCTCAACCTTTCCACACCAATTTTTCTTCAAGTTTGATCTTATTTTGTTTATTTATTTCTTCTACCTTTCTTCATTTTCTTTCTATTTTTTCCCTCAGGCTGTATGTAGTTAGGACCTCCCTGGCAGGTGTCTTGGAGCCTTGCCGAGGGGGTGGGTGTTGTGACCTAGGTCACATGGTGTGACTCGGCTGCGGCTCAGCCAGCCGGAGGAGACTACATCCGTCTCCTCTGGGCCACACCTACCGGAATCCACACCGAATACACAGTCTATGCTCCTACACTTACCAACCATGCAAGTTCAACATTCCCACCCGTAGGCATTTCCTGATTGAGGTGACCGGCCATGATATGCGTATATTGACTGAATCAAGGGTTGGAAGAATGCAGACAGTCCAGACTTGTTCAGTCAGACCGAAACAAGTGAAGGGATTTCGCTGGATGAAATTTGCCTTGTCGAAGTCGATGTTGGACTTGGGACTGGGAGTCTTGGAGATCCCCTGAGTGTGACGGCAGAGTATGCTTATAATGAAAGATGAGGTGTTTGAGCCAGGAGAGAGAGAGAGATGCTAATATCGAGTGATGAGGCATCACCATAAATACAGGGCGTCGTGGAAGGGAGGAAATTGGAGCACCACTTAACACCTGCCACATCATCACACATCCCCGACAACCCAGAACGAACTCACCGAACTCTCGCTGTCTCGACAAAATCGATCGGTTTAGATTTTCATCCTTCTTCAAATAAGTATTCGAAATGGACCAAGTCAAGGAACTCGGCGAAATCCCTCAGAAGTTCCTCAAGGAGGGAAGCCAGGTTTGTAGTACACCATGGTATCTTATTACACATGTCCCAACTTCTTACACATCTATCTGCTCCTTCTTTTGATAAGATCTCGATTCGAATTCGTGATGACTAACTCTTGATCGCTTTGGTTTTTTTTTTCTAAATGATTTTTTCCAGTTTATGAACAGATGTACTAAGCCGGACCAAAAAGGTAAGAATCTAGCTTTCGGTTATCTTTTTTCTGACTCCTGTATCTACTCCACCCAACAAGTAAAAATGAGCTGATTCATGTTTTCCTGTTCTTGTTCTGCCTTTTGCTTGTTTGTTTACAGAGTTTATTCAAATCTGTCGGGCTGTAGCTATCGGATTCGCGATCATGGGCTTCATCGGATACTTCGTTAAACTCGTCCGTTCTCATTTCTTTTCGTCTTTCTACTCGTTTTGTTCTTATCCGCTGTGGAATTTCCAGATCAAATGTTAATATAACTTCTTCTGAATCGACTACACAACAACAATAATAATAATATCACAGATTCATATTCCTATCAATGGGATTCTAGTGTAAGTTCCTGAATATACCCCCAATCAAACCAAACAACAAACTAAAAAAACGTTTTTGCTTCTTACAAACGATTAATTTTCACAGCGGAGGAGCATGATGGATGAAGCGCGATCATGAGGATGAAGATGGCGGTAGGATTGATACGAACAGGACCTGGTTCAACGATTACCCACTCGATCCTTCGCCCCCCTCCACCCATTTTGATCATCCTTCTTTCTCCTGTCTCTTTTTTTGTTCCACAGTCGATCAAAAACCAACAATTCTCAATCCACTCTTCCACCCTACCGCTCTCACTTCTGCTCTCTCTCTCTCTCTCTCTCTCTTCTCTTTTTTTCCTGCATAAACTTTTTCGCTTTTATGTTTTGTTTCCATCTGCTTTCTTGATGATGATGCTTATCTCAATAATAAATCGAATAAAACATAGAAGAAAAAAATAAATAAAGAAACGGCTTACAAAAGTGAGTGACTAATGGTTGGAGTATAACAATCACTTGATTATATTTCAGAGAAAACAGCTTAGTAGGAGACAGGTTTGGCTTTATGGGAATTGCTTATAACGCCAAATAAATAAGACAACCCTGGAGAGTCAAGTGCACAGTAGTTGCAGAGGGTGGCCCAAAGTTACTTCATTTTCCACAAACTTGAAGTGATATAGTTCTGTCAAAGGGTTGAAACTAGATTCCCAAGAATGACTGTGAAAAAAAATACCAGATGCAATTCAAACAAAGAAGGAAAATCAGAGGAAACATATAGGACAACATGTAAGAATGACAGTTATATACAGCCTCAATCCAGTGTGGAGGAAAAACTGGCTCTCAACTTGAATTTTAGTGCCATACTTCAGAGTTAAGGCTGGTTGATGCCCTCCTCCAGTCTCCAAGTGTACCAACAGTGGGCCAGCTACGCTAACTGTAGCGTTAGCGTAGCGTAGTGTAGCAAAAAACCGCTACAATTTAGCGTAGCGTTAGCGCTTTTCTCATTTTCTGCGCTAACGCTACGCGCATGGGGAAAAAACTTGCGCTAGCGTTTAGCGTAGCGTTAGCGCAATTCCCCCCATCTGCGCTAACGCTACGCGCGCAGGGCGCAAAAAACCGCCCGCTACGCTGCGCTACAGCAGTTTTTAGCGGTTTTTAGGCGTTTTTGCCGCTAAAAACGCTGTAGCGTAGCGTAACGCAGCGTCTACACCAAAAATTGGTGAGTGTTAGCGCCACTACGAATTAGCGTAGCGCAGCGGCCGTAGCGGCGCGCTAACACTACGCGAAAAAAATGGTGCTGCTACGCTAACACTACATGGGCCCGTAGCGTAGTGTAGCGTAGCGGCCCACTGCTGAGTGTACCAGTTTAGAATGACTTATTTTGGCCTTTTTTACATTTTTTTTTTCAATTCTAATTGCTCCTCTCTCATGCAATTGTATCCTTTCTCTGTATTTCTTTTTTGAATGAATCTTAAAAAATTCCCAACATTCTCAAATACACCTTTGTTTGGAAAACATTGTCCATGTCCAAAAAAAAACATTCCTTATATTTTTTCTTTCTGGTCAAACATTATGCTCCTTATGCATAAGCTTCGACAACTCAACAAGGATTCAACTAGCTCGGAGCCAGGCTTTTGATCCATCACATAATCCCACCCTCTATGGTGGGAATCCTCCTTCATTTGTTGCAATATATATGAATAGATGAAAAATAAAAATATTTGAGGAAGAAAATTTCTCACAGATTGGACAACCTTTGTTGGAATAGCTGTATGAATGAATGTTCTTTTTTTTCTTGATTTTTTTTCTTGAGTTGTTGATCAAAGTTGATCATGAAACCTCATTCCCAGGAGCATACTGGTGAAAGTCTGGATCTGCCACAAATCCCAGCTGGTGCATGTTGATATTTTATGTTCTGAGTTGATGATGACACTTAAAGATTGCCCAGGAATACCTACCTATCCCAACCACAAGTATTGTGTTGGGATCAGTTTTGGTTCATAGGCCTTAGATGGCCCATTGAATTTTTTTTCATATTTCTTTTCCAGTGAATCCCACATGTGAACACTGAATATCAAGAAAAAAATGCTGTATGTGTGAATTAACAAAGAAAAATTGGGAAAAATCCCTGTAAACAATGAACCCTGTGGCTTTGAGGATGTGTGAAGCCCATCCTTATTCCTGCACTTTGGGGCTTCAGACTGGGGAAGCCCTGGAATCCTGAGCTTTGGGAGCATCCTTGTATAAAATGGAACACTCACTTGAAGGTAGGGTAGAGAATTGGGAGGTTTTGGGTCAGCCCACTCTAATATTTCTCTTTCCTGCTTAAATTGGGGGGCAGGTTTGGGATGGGAGTTTCCCACATATTGATGTCACCCAGCTTTGATCCAGTAGGGTTTTATTTGGGCTGGTTGGGCCCCAGTGTTGCCCAAGATTGTTGGCCAGAAGGAGGAAAAATGTGTGCCAAAGCCAATTGATTGATGATTGATCAGTGATCAATTGGACCTGCATATATTATTGGGATCACCCAAGGCTCCATTGGGATGGCACATCTGGGTAACTGAGCTACCCAAAATGGCCCAATACCACCCCTATCCCATGGTGGGCATGGGCTGCCTGGCCTCTGCCCTGCTCGAAGATGGTTGGATTGTTGTCTAGATTGAAGAGGAAGAAAGTAAATCGACCAAAGCTTTGAGAATCATCAAAACCCACTGTTGAGGAGGATCATAAAGAACCAGGTGAATGTGGAGGGCTCATGAGAGATCCACACGGTTGTGGCTACATAACAAACAAGAACTACTGGAGAGGAGAAATAAAGACACAAGCACACCTGAGGTTGAGAGGAGTGAGAAGAAGGGCTGAGAACCCAAGGAAAGAGAGGAAATAAAACAGAGAAGCAGTTGGTTGAATTTTAACCACTGAGATTACCTTTGAACTGGGTTGCAACATTTAGATTATCACTCCTATTCCGCAGGCTATGAGTATGCTACTGTTGAGGGACACACAGTTACTTCAATAGATCAGTCATAGACCAGAGCCAGCAATAATACATTGCATGCTTGACAGTAGTCTTTGCTGCAGCGGGTGCATCTGGCAGTGCAGCGCTGGCCAGGCAGCTCCCAAAGGGAACTCCCCACAGGGGAAACTTGCACCTAAGGTGGAGAAACATGCGTGGTGAGTTTCTAGTGTTTATGGTGGGAGCGTCATAAGATTTGGAATCATGACAGATGGACCTGTATTTGATCCAGCCAAAACACATAAAGTTGGACATGACAACCAAATTTTATAAATGAGTTTATAAAACCAAGCTTTGTTGAAAATTTTTTTGAGTTCAGACATGGGGGGGGGTTTGCTTGACTTGGACATACCAAAAGAAGCCGACTAGTGAGAAGCACCAGTGGACCGCAGTGAGCAAAGAGAGAATCTGGGGAGCGAGGACTAAAGACTGAGAGCGACAAAAGACTAATCACCTGAGAAGCACCAGTGGACCGCAGTGAGCAAAGAGAGAATCTGGGGAGCGAGGACTAAAGACTGAGAGCGACGAAAGACTAATCACCTATGTAGGTGATACAAATGAAGCGACTAAGTGAGTGAGTGTGCATTGCAAGCAGAGAAAGAAAGAAAGAAGCAACAGAGAAAATACAAGAGAAAGAGAATATCGATCTTGAGAGATAGAGAATAGAAAAAGGGCAAACCTGAGAAGCACCAGTGGACCGCAGTGAGCAAAGAGAGAATCTGGGGAGCAAGGAATAAAGACTGAGAGCGACAAAAGACTAATCACCTATGTAGGTGATACAAATGAAGCGACTAAGGGGCCAATTATAAACAGTTTTTGGTTTCTTTTTGAATACTTTTTGATTTTTTTTGGTTCGGTTTTTATTTGATTTTGTAAGTAATTATAATGCCAAAATGGGTGAAACGCGTGAAATATGTTGCAATTATAAACAAATTACAACTTTGTCAGCAAAAAAAATTATTCGGACGCCTGGATACAGCCTCCTGTATCCACGAACTCCTGAGATTCCCGTCACACAATGCTGCCCCCTCCGATCAACCCCACCGCAATGATCCAATTTGCTGCGCTGTGGAATTGGCACCGACTACAACAAACCCTGGACGAAAAAATTTACATCCGAGCAGATCGAGTGGCCTTTGTCCGACCCAACCGGTGGGAGCCTTGGAACGACGAACGGATCCCAGCGGTACGATTTATCGAGTACTTTAGGATGTCGAGGGCTGATTTTCATTGGATATGTGACGAACTCAGGGATACTTTGGCACAAGATCAGCTCCGCCGAGGTGCTCCTTTGACCGTGGAGGCGCAGGTCGCTGTGGGCCTCTATCGTTTAGGTCATGGGGCGACGTACGTGACGATTTCTCATGTTTTTAATATTGGCAAGGAAACGGCCGACAAAGCATCCGGGCGCTTCGTCAATGCTGTCCTGAAGGTATTGAGGCTGCGGGCAATCAGGTATGGGACCGTTCGATCAACTAGCCATCTGGAACATGCTAGCTTTTAATTACACTCCTGACTCAATGATCATTCAGCTTCCCCGATTTAGATGCACACGACGAATGGGTGGAAATCGAGGATTCGTTTGCGTCTCGGCATGGGATTCCCGGGGTTGTAGGGGCGATCGACGGTACTCACGTGCCCTTGGCTATGCCTCCATTGGACAAATGGAAAGGCTATATCAACCGGAAGAATTGGCCATCCCTGGTATTTCAGTGTGTCGTCGACGGCGAGGGGAATTTCCGTGATGTAAGTAGGCCTCTGACTATGTCATTTATACCCACCCGGAAGCATTGATGCCAACAACTATCGCTCATGGGAATTAGGTGTTTGGGGGCGGGGCAGGCTCGATCCATGATAGTCGGGTCTTTCGTCGGTCCCCTCTTGGATGTAGTCTCAACCAGGCTTTGGACCTTCCGTTGATGATCCCTCGCTCGAAATACCTCATAGGTGACGCTGGGTATCCATCCAATGTGAACATCTTGGTGCCATACCCTTCCATCGCGGCGCCAGAGAACGAATGGTTCAATTATGTCCAATCTGCCACTCGTATCGTCGTTGAGCAGTCCTTTGGCCGGCTCAAGAATTGATTCCGGATCCTACTGACAGCTCAGAAGTCCCACCCCCTCCGGGCTCGAAATACGACGTTCGTTTGCATGATATTACATAATATACTCAACCGCAGGGGCTCCCTATACTTGCAGGGCTGGGATCTACGGTCCCGTCGGGAGCTCGGTTTTGCAGAACTTCCCCGTCTCAATGAACACGACTTGACGCCCCCTCCACCCGGCGAGTCCATGTGGACCCGACGGGATCATATCCGAGACATGTTGTACCGCCCTCGCGGAGGGTAGGCGTAGTGTTCTTTGTGTAGTAGTGAAACCAATATCATATTCTATCTCACTATCTATGCATGTAATCCATCAATGGTCTCCTACAAGATCTGGGGCTTAACGATTTCATGGAAAAATCTAACGATGTAATGTCATGCTATGGTGTTGGAACTACCAAGCATGGGAGGCCTTGGGGTGGTGCGGACTAATGACTGATATCGGCGGATGATGAGGGCATTGGAGAAGCCCGCAATCATTGGGAAATCGGCGCGACAGGTAGTATTGTTCTTAAAGTACGTCGCCCACGAGACAGAGCTGCCGGTCTGGGCGATCATGGCGTCGTAGTCGGCCCGGACCCGCTGGACAAATTCGAGGACTTGTGGGGACGATGCGGCTGACCACGTCGTTATTGGCGTGGTCATTGGTGGTTGCACAACTTCTGCACGAGTGCGGTTCTCGGGGGGGCCAAAGATCTCCACCAGTCGGGGCCAGTCCCGGCAGATCATGTTGGTGTAGCCTAGAGGAACTGGTCAGAATGATGATCGCCTGCGGACTAATACCGGTGCGTGCACTTACCTTCAAACGATAGGTATCCTTTGGGGTATCGCTCTTGGAGCTGGCTGGGGGTTTGCTTGGCATACTCCCAGGCATCGTAGTAGCCCTCACGCAGGAGGAAGATTTTGAGGGAGATGTCTGAAGGTGCGGAGATGGTTGAGCTAGCTGGATCGGTATGAAATTGGTGATCAAGGAAGGCTTACCGTGGGGGGATCGATGGTGTATGCCAAGCCTCCGCATCTCCAGGTGGATTTCCTGGGCCAGGGGGGCCTTGCTGGGAGAGGTGCACCATTGGGAATAGTTCCCCGGTCTGCCAAGCCAATCCAGGAGGACCGTGATGCTGTGCGGCCTGCTGTCAACACCGCCGTCCGTTTCCCATGGGAGGGGCATATGGGGGAGTTTGAATAGGCGAAGTAACTAGTCGATGATGTGGCGAAGTACCTACGGGTTTGGGGTAACAGTGCTCAGGATGGGGAAGGTCAGAATGTCATCCATCTGGACCTAGGGTACCTGTGTGGGAACAGAATAGCCAGGCAGGTTAGGTTTCACCGAGCCCTATTTGCCGGACTCACATTCGCCCGGCTATGCGGCCGTGGTCAACCTCGTGGGCCGTAGCCAGAGGCGCAGGGTGCAGGTACTGATGGCGCGAGTTCATTGCTATCATGGGGGTTTATATGGCAGATGGATGATGTGGATTACATCCACATTGCATGATAGGAATTTAGATACAAGGACGGTTATAAGAGGGGGGAAGGCTAGGTCGGTCGGGTCGGATGCCCACCCTGGCAGAGCGCCCGAGATGCTCCAACGGTGAGGCCAAGTGCTTGGAGTTCACTCTCGTCTGAGAGGCCGAAGTGCTTGGGCTGGGTTATCCTATGTTGACTGAGGATCTCGCGGGTGTGTCGATCGTCCGGTTGAATGCCACATCGGATCAAGAACACCTCAAGGCTAGCGGGTTCGGACTCAGGTCGTACTTGGGCCGGCGTCAGCTCATCCAGTTGGTCCTCATCAACGGTAGTGCTTGCCTGGCTTCTGACGGCCTGTGCGGGCTCATGTCGGGCGCGTGAGTTGGGTTGGGAATCGACCGGGTTGGGACTGAGTCCTCTTTTGGGCCCGGCGGTAGCTCCAGGGTCCTGGCAAGATAGAGCATCACTGGAGTTGAGCTGGTTGACTGGGACGGTAGGTATGAGGGATATCATTGCTTACCGGTTTGACCAAGTCCCCAGAGGGCGGCCTGGCGGATCTTTGGTTCCATAGGTTTGCAGGAAGATTGTTTGGCGAGTTGCCAATAGCCCCGCCGGTCCTACGCATTTGATCCACCATGTCGTGCAATCTGGTCGTGGCCTTGGAGTCTGAGTCAGGTATTTGTCCGTCTGGTACGATTGGCAGCATGTCTGACTTGGCTCTGCCACAGCGGTTGGGTCCTGACCCAACCATTGCCCCCGGCCTGTTTGGGAGGCTCACTAGGATAGGTTTCATATCTAACCAAATATCCTCGTCCCAACACTTGTCATATGTACCACTCTCATGAGGACTTAAGGGTCCTCCAGGCGAGGGGAGGGAATTGTGATCCCCCCGGCTAGCTCAATGTAAACTCATTAGGTGCGAAATCAGACCAGATCCTCATCAGACGCTGGGCGATATGATCGGTGCAAAATTTAAAACCAGAAAGAATGCAAAAGAATGCAAAAGATGCTATGACAAAGATGCCTAAGGCCTATATATTACGAGGGGGCTCAAGCAGATGGAGAATGCAAATCAAGTTACAATGACGGATGATCGGGCTAAAGACAATCAAGAATTGATAAAGCCGATCGAGAATGGAAATGACATGAGAATAATGGAAAGAGGTTGACAAAGGTATCTAGGGCCAACTCTTATTGTCACCCCTTCGCGGGCGGCTCCGGCATAGACATACCCATGGCCTTGAGCATGGCCAACTCGAACAGCTGGCGCGACTGCTGTTGCTTCTCCGCCCTATCCTCTCGCTCCTCCTCACGCTTCTTCTCCTGAGCCTTCCGCTCGATCGCCTCCTCCCGATCGCGCTTGCGGTCCTCAGCGGCCTGGATGGCGGCCTCTTTGGCGGCCTCCCGCTCCATATTGATCCGGTGTTCAGCTAGAGCCCGCTCCGTCTTCGCCTGTTCCCTGAGGATCTCCCGCTCTTCTTTTGCCTGAATCATCTCATCACGTCGCGCTACCTCCATTGCATCGGCCCGCTTCTCGGCCGCCCGACGCTCATCCTCCCGGATTCCTTCTAGTCGGCGCGTTTGTGCCTCACGCTCGTCCGCGCGGATCTCTTCCAACCTGAGTCGCTCCGATTTCTCCTCAGCACGTAAGTTATCCTGCCGAGTGCGCTCCTCCATTGCCAGCTTGCGCTCATCGACCGCCCACGCCGCCGACGACTCTTGGGACCGATGCATCATCATAAGCATGCCATTAGCCGTTGAGTCGTCCTCCCTTGGCTTATCCTCAACCCAACCGCGGCGCCGGGGAATACTGCCACCGTCCGTTGGTGGCCGGCTAACAGGCGTGTTGGCCGCGCTGCTCTTAGGCTTTGTCTTGCTGTTTTTGACCCGCTGGGCCCCACCGGGCGCTGGTACAACCGGAGCCGCGAGAGGTGTGGCCGGCGTAACCACCGATGGGGTAGCCCTACCAGGAGTGGCTGACCCCGACGCAGTCGTCGAAGGCCCCAGGACGAGTTCCTTGGGCAAGTCGGCATCGGCATCCGAATCCATGTCCAGGGCCAATTCCGCAGGTGTGAGTCCCTCGCACAGCCGATCGTACTTGGTCTTCCGCTTCTTCGGTGGCCCGGGCGTGCCCAATGGGCCGTCTGAGTCATCCCCGTCGGAGGAGCCTGACCGTTCGGAGGAGGCCAACAGGGCGCCTGACTCATGTAAAAGCGACTCGTAATCATCCAGAGAGGAGCACAAGCCCTCACCAGTGGCTGCCGGATTATCCCCATGCATATCTAAGATCAAGTCCCATATCTAAAAGATCCTACAGATCAGCAAGGCAATCCTACCATTGGGAATGGAGAACTTACCTCCTGTGACAATTTGAAGTTATCCAATGCCCATGATAACCCAGCGGCACCCGATCGGTCCACACAATCTTTGACTTTCTATAATTCACATCCAAGTCAGCCCCATGGTTCCCCTGTCGACTACGGCGTAAGCACACACATGGGGCACTGACCTTCCACTTGTCCATCACCGCGCGATATCGGGCCAGACGAGTTGCGTTGGAGATCGACAGCAGCAATGGGAAAGCCTCTTCCCGGCCGGTATAACTGGCAAAGTACTTCCCAAACGGGATGAACCCACCGGTCACTCGAGTTTGACTGTGGTCCTCCTTGACCATACGAACGAAATTCAACAGTTCGATTGTCTGTTCCTCGCTCCAAGTCGGACGAGGGGTTGCATTTGCCGCATCATGCGCCTTGAGCATCTTCTTTGCTGCGTTTGTCGCTTGCTTCTGCCGAGCATCGGCGGCCTTATCCGCCTGTTGCTGAAACTTCCGCGCCCGTTTCTCGGCGGCAATCACTTCGGCCAGGCGCATCTGTTCAGGCGTCCGCTTGGGCTTGCGAGTTCGAACACCGCCGTTAGCCAGCACCGGCCCTGAGGACCTCGGACCTGTAACGACGTTCAACGGGAGCTCCACCGGAGGGTGTGTTGATTGGTTGAGCACGGTCTGTTGTTGGTCAGCCTCGCCCGCAGGGAATTGTCGATTTGATGAGCCGTCAGGGGGCACGCCTTGGGTATGCGGAGGTTGGGAACCCCCTGGGTGGTGAGACCGGTTAGGCCCATGGGGAGTGTAGCGATTAGTCATCCCGGCAGACATCCCTTGCTGCTGCTGGCCGGAAGCGAGTCCAGTCCCCAATCGATCCATTGGCCTGGCGCCGTGACCCTGGTAGTGATTCTGCCCGCCGTAGGACTGTGCTAAAGACGCCGGAGCACCAGTTGTGAGGCGGTTGTTGGAGTCCAGGCCCGTCATCTGATAGTCCTCCCGGCCGAGGGTCCCGGCTGGGTCATCCGACAGGCCGAAATCGCCTGCCCCGTCGATGGATCGGCTGTCCATGGAATGACCCCAACTGTTGTGAGTTGCTGGGTTTTGCTGGGTGTGTCGATTGTAGAGGGGTTCGAAGGAGTTGGGGTCGTGTTGTTGTGGGGCCAGATAGGGGGAGTCGTGACCGGGCGCGGTGTCATCCGGCGGGAAATGCTCGTTCATTGCGAAAGACGTGAGGCCAGTGATGGGCAGATGCGTAGGCTAGCTAGTCCGAGTGCCGCACAGGAATATGCAGGCCATCTCATTCCAACGTAAGCCACATGGGCCATGTGGACATACAGGGCCATACAGATCATAAGACCTGTAGTTGCATCCCATACGGCTGTATTCCATTTCCCGTAAGCAGATTTCACGATTTTTCGTTTTCAAACAACCTCTTGGAGGTTGTTTGAAAATGATTTTCACATAAAAAATAGTTACAAATCTCTTATGAAAAATTTCAAAACATAACTGAGAATAATCTCAAAAATAAAAAAAAAGGTGTTTATAATTGGCCCCTAAGTGAGTGAGGAAAAAGAGAAAGAAAAACAACTGAGATGAGAACTAAGGAATCTAAGTACAACAGCTAAACCTAATCTAAGTACAGGATTCCGCAGTTCTCCTCCTCTCATTAACCCCAACCTTCGATAGTCGCGAGGAAGTCATGACCTGTCGCTACACTGTCACAACTAGTTGATCAGTTGAAAAGTCAACCTATTAAAAAAAACTGCAGTAAATTACTTGAGAATATAACAAAAAAAAACGGAACAGTACCTGGGGGAAATATGTGGATGAGAAGCAGGCCTCCCCTGTCCTGGAAGTCCTGGAAGGAGACATCACATAGACGTGAACACAGAAGTGTCAAGAGACAAAAACACACAAAAAACGTGCTTTTGAGAGCCCAATTCAGAAACCCCGGAATCATGCGGGAGTTTTGATGTTATGCATAGGAGGCCGCCAGTTGGTGTGGACTTGCTACTGCTCCCACCTTGGAGGCCTAATAGTTAAGCTCGAATGGATTAATGCAGGTTGAAGAACCGGCCAAAGTTCCACCAGCTTGTTATAGAAGCAGTTTATCTAGCACGGTCAGCTTTATTATAGATAGGCGGACCAAATGTGGAAATCTGAGAATGATCCTCCATGCTGATGACTATGAAGTCCACTTTGGTTCTCTCTGGATTTGCCCAATCTAAGCATCCACAAGTATAGAAGAGGAAGAAGAAGATATTTGGGGGTGCTCCAAACAGTGTATGTGTGCTATGTAGCTGTGTCTGCTCATGAGTGTCCTTTGAAATCCATATCTATCATTACATGGATGAGTATGAAAATAAATGATCAAATGAACTTCCGCAAGAAGAAGTCAAAACACCCCATGACGCCCTACTACATATCGGGATATTTCCATACATGAAAGATAATTTGTGTTACTACATCACTGTAATTTATGAAAGGAGAAAGCGGATGCAGCAGCCCATGGTCTGATGCACTAATAAAGACAAAACATAATACATGGATGGATGGATAGATAGATGAGAGGAAAGATGGAGATCCGGGGGTCAATGATAAGGTCTTTGTATGTATGTGCAGAAAAGGAGACAATCGTACGTTTGGAATAATGTTTAATGAGGAAGGAGTTTTCATTTTGTTGTTATTGTTGTTATTTGCTTTTTTTTAATAGAGATGATTGAAGAGGCAGAAGAAGAAGAAGAGGATGATGAAAAAAAAAAAAAAAAAAAAAAAAAAAACTTGACGAATCAAATTGGTTGTCATTGATCTTGATCATCATCTGAAGTAGACGAATAATTATCTTCATCGATCCTAGGATGATTTCCAGTTTCAAGATTGTAATCCGAGTCATCTGAGTCGATCAGCAACGAAGAATCCGGGGAGGTAGAGTTGTGATAATGGTGGTGGTGATGGTGGTGATGATGATGGTGGTGATGATGGTGCTGTTGCTGTTGTATGATGGGTTGCGGGGCTTGTGGGAAGAGATCAGGGAATTCGAAGGTGGCGAGTGAATCAAGGTCGGTCATCGTCTCAGCAATATCTATGGGTTGTTCGCAGTAGAGGTTGATACCCTTGGGATGGAAGCAAGTAGCGCGGCGACGCGACTCGGGGGAGTCCACGAAGCTGGAGCGGTAGAGGTGAAGGTCGAGCCAGCCGATGGCCGCGCGGTCGCCGAAGCCGCCGAAGTAGTAGACCTTCTGGACGGCCAGACGGGCCCAGAAGGAGGCGTGAGGGCCGCCGTGGCCGTCCCAGAGGGTGCTGTCCGGATGGACGCGCTCGTATATCCGCTTGGCTTCCCTCTGTTCCTCCTCCTCCTCCAGCATCTCCAGCTCCCCAAAAACACTCACCCGCCGCCGGTTCGCCGCCCACATCCCACTCTTCCTTTGCACCGTCCCCAGCTCGTCTTGGATCGATAGCGTCAGGCCCATCGTCCCGTTCTCCTTCTCTTGTAGTACGTTCCCGTAGATCGGCGAGATCGGCAGGACGAGTAGAACTAGGTCCCCATTCGGATACGGCGCGAAATACTCTTGCAGTCCGATCGGAAGCCCTCTCAGGCTCGGATCAGGATGATTGTCTGGATCTGTGAAGATCATAGAGATATCAGAATCTATAAATACCTATATATAAGTTAGTTTTATTTTTTGAAGACTCACAATTACTGATCAACGTTCCAATCCCTTCAGATCCTGTTTGAGACAAGAAGAGCATCATGAGTAGGTTGAGAAACCCAGATTTTTCGAGTTGAAGAGACTGAAAGGACTAAACTGTAGTGAATCAATTCTCTGGCATGGATGGCTGGAAGAGAGAAAGTAAGACGACAGGCTATCAGCTGCGTGTAAAGCAAGGTACAAGAAGGAATAGCATACCGGCGAGATGGGTAGACTCGGACTGGGAGAGATGGAGTCTTGCGGAGGATGAGGAGGTATTGTTGAGATTGTTGTAGTTGAACTGGTTCGAGAAGAGGGTCAGTTGACTGGAGGGGATGTGTGCGGCGGTAGCGAGTCCGAAGCCGATCGCCAGGGTGGAGACTAGAGCCCTGTGTAATAAGCAACCCGGCGTCATCTTACATAGGATGTGCTGGTACTCTTTCAATGAGTATGGTAGGCCTCGAAGCGAAACCGGCGGAGTTTGAGGAGGATGGGCTGATAGGAGGAAGGCTTGAGTTGAGACGGGGGAAGAGGGATGCTGATGAGGTTTGGGATCCGAGTGGGGCTGTTTTGGGTGAGTGGGTTATGATCCCATGAAGCGTCAAGAGGTCTGAGCACACTCTACATACTCAATTGGTACTTCTTTAGAACTGAAGACCAGAATAACACTGATGGGAATTTTAGAATCCAGACTATATGTATAAGGGATCATGAACTTGTCGATGGACCTGCATGGAGAATATATAAAGTGGGTTTCCCGATGGTGGAAGAGCTCTATTAAGATCACATCCAGCCCGCCACAGATCGTGCATACTTACTCGCCGATTGCTTATTTACAATTATCTATCGGCCTGTGGTCAGATGGCCAACATCATCACCTCGACCCGCCGCGAAACTAACACTGCATAAATCCAACTGGAAAATCACTGGAAATAATGGGTCGCTCGATCTCGCCTTCATTAATCAGTCCGAGTTAGAGGAGTCGATACTCCAAACGAATTATTCGCACAACTCAGGACACATGATTTGCTCAAAGGAGAAATGCATTAGTGAAAAATGTGTAGGAAGTATGCACCCATTCTGAGAGGAAAACCAAAAAAACATATCTCAGTCAATCATCTAGTCTTTGTTTAAACTAGCTTAACACAATCCCCTCGTTTCAGGGGCCGGGGGACCGGCGCGCCGGGGGCGCCTCGCGAAGCGAGGAGGCTCGCTTCGCGAGGGGCGCTTTGCGCCAGCCAGCCAACCTGGCCCGACGAAGTTGGGGATTGTGTTAAGCTAGTTGTTTAAATCAAGGGGAGGGGGGAAGGAAGGAAGGAAAGCAGCATCACCATTATGAATGATAATCAGATCCCACAATTCTTACACTTGGCATCGAAAATCCTATTGAAAGAATTGAAAGCCCCCAAATTACACAAATCATGATTATTTAGGTGGGTTTTGGAAGAGGAGTTACTCCATCGGAAAAGGTATATTGATAGAGGCAGGGGGGTGGGGGATGGAAATACAATGTGGGTTACTACAAATGAAATAAAGACTATGTGAAAATCAAGTACTGGTATATGTATAAAAATCAACATTGTATTATGAAAGATAGACACAGCTGTTACCGTCAAAAATTAAAAAAAAAAACGCAGGATGAGGAACTGATCACAGAGTGGTATAAAGATAACAATAGCAGAAAACAGTTATGCTGGAGGTCTTGAGAGCATGTGAATGGGGAGTTCTCCTTGAGTGTTGAGCTGAGCCGGCTGATCAGGGTCTGGCTTTGGCAGGCAAGTGATAGACGCGGGATCCGGTGGGGGCTGGTTAGCCTTCCGTTTGCGCTTCAATTTCGGAGGATTGGAGGCCGGATTCGGCGGAGCACCGGTGGCCGCCAAGCCGGCTTCATTGCCCCCCACTCCGGGGGTGGCACTCGAGCCTTTCTTGCTACTGCCCCCCGTGGTGCCACCGGCTGGGACATTGGAAGCTGGTGTCCGTCTTTTCACTCCGACGTATCGGATCACTTTATCCTTCATTTCCTCCTCTGTGGGGGTAATCGTATTGGCCGTCGGCACCGGAAACGCAAAGCCTAGTAAGCGATGCTCTAATGAAACATCCACCAAGTGAGAACATGTTAATCATCCAGAATCAAGAACTGAGATCAATCATTAAAAGGGAGAGGCGAATCGAGGATCCGGACGGACTTAGTTCTTTGGGCTTCCAAGTCGGGTTAGGCTGGCGGATAAGATCATCGGAATCATAGGCGACATCGAAGTCCTCAGTCACATCAGTCTGATACCTTCGCCAGGCAACTGATCAGAGCAAGAAAAGCAAAAAAGAGATTAGAGGCCAGAATCAGTAATCGATTGTTGAATCAAACTTCACATAGATCATGGAAACTAACTTTGTGTCGCAGTGAGCATATCATCTGGACCATCTAGATCACTATCATCACCGTACTTGACTATGGCTATTAAAATGGGAGCGTTGCCAGACCAGAGTACAATCAACCATCAGCGATTTGTTAAGTAGTAACTGATACCGGGCAGGAGGACTGTAATCGACGTACCATCTAGAGCGCTCTGCAATCTTTCGATGTGCGTCATACGGGCTTTCGAGACCGTCTTACTTTTCTTCTCAGGCTCTTTGGTGGTCGTCTTTCGGTTTTCGAACTTGGCCGAGCCGATGAGTGCTGAAGGAGGAATCGAGGAGCCAGGCGTCGAGCCCTTGGCGGCTAGTTGCGCCTGGCTTGTCTGCCCTTCATCGCCTTCTATTGCGGAGGATTGCGCATAGTTTTGGACCATGATCTTCTGCTTCTTCGTCAGTTGAGCTGATTTTGAAAATCGAATGACATCACATTCAGTCAATAAGAAACGAGTAACGAAGATAAGATCAACGATCGCTTGAAAGAGAAAAAGAGACGTGAGATGGGACGAACAATCTTCGATCAAGGGAGCAATGAACCCAGTCCCCAAGTCGTCCACAAATCCGATCCCTTCCTCGCCCCTCCACTTCTTCAAAAACTCCCGTCTATAGGTTTGCATATCTTTTCCCCACTGGATTTCTTCTTCGGTGTCTATGTTTTCAGGGCTATCGCCCAAGGTCGAGTCGGGTTGGATGTCTTCCAGTCGGGCCAGCTGAAACGCCTCGACCTTCGACTCGTGTTGGAAGTCTGTTAGTGCCGACGGGTCTTCCAGGAAATGGTGCATCAGCCAAAGGAAGGCATAGGCTCGCAATTTGGTCGGGATTCTGTTGAGTCCATGCAGGACGTTTGTGGGGATGGTGATATTTGGAGTATTTTCGGGGGAAATGTATGAGGATCATGATCGTTGCGTGTACGCATTAAGAATAAATGAAGATTTTCAACCAAACGGCTTACGTGGTGGGTGAGAAGAGGTCATGCAAAACAAATCCTTCCGGGAAGTACTTCATGCTAACGTACTGGGAGAAATTTGCTCTAGATATCAGCATCAAGATCTTTATGAGGCTTATAATCAATCGACGAGAGACTCACAGGTTCAACGCTGAATAATTCAAAGATGAGGTTGACAACAGTTGTTGGAGGTCTGTATCCAAGCGCCTGTATAATTCAGCAACAAGAAGAAGAAACAAAAATCAGTAACTTTTACAAAGATCGATGATCGATTGAGATACTCTACAAACGCTTCTCTTGGCGATGTCCGGTAACGATTCAGGTTCGTTGCCGAATTCAGAAGGTAATTGGCAGGATTTCAACATGGTTTTGATCCGCGGAGCGTCTTGTAAATTGGTTTGACAGTATTCATCCTTCTGGAGACATGGGATGGGATGGTAGGTTCTCATGTACGCCCGCAACTCTGGATAGACTGCAAAAAAAAAAAAGAAGCCGAGATTGGAATTAGATTTTGAGCCGGGACTAGTACGAGTAATGGAGGACTTGCAAGCCACAGTGGTATTGATTCGTCCGATGTTGATTAGGAATGAAGCGATACAGAAGTTCGTAGCCCACTGTGTGTAAGATCGTCGGCGCCAAGTCAAAGTCGGATAGGATAGCAGAGATGAGGAGAGGGAGAAGGAATGTAGATCGGTTAATCATAATTCTGATCCGTGTAAAGAGGAAGCGATAAGACTGACTTGAGGATTGTCGTCCAACTGTCTGACTGTACTCTTGGCAGCCTTACTGAACCTCGACAGGGTTTCGACATAGAGTTCTTTGAAGGAGATGGCGCGCTGGTCGAGTGGGCTAGTGAACTGGAAAGTACGGTCGTTACTTGATCGATAATTTCCAAAGGTAGATCGTCAGCCTGTCTTCTTGCTTCTTCTTTAAATCCGGCCAGGGAAATCTGGAAAACATGGATGATGATGGTGTGGGGATGGCAGAGCCTTACAAGATGTTGGCCATCAGATCGTATTGTATGTCTGCCCTGGTGAACATCTCCCCTATATCCATGAATTCGATAACAGATAAATCAGCATGAATCCACCCGACTTTCACTTCCTACGGATACGGTCGACATACCGTCCAGCTTTTTGAGAGCCTGTTGTAGGACAATCATCACTCTTTGTCAGTCGTTTTAATTTTTCTTCTTTTTGCGTAAATGGTCAAGAGGAGTAGAATTGAGAGAGCCATACCCATCCTGGGTTATCCTTGCTGGTGCTCGGAGTGGCTTGGTTAGTGGGTTGGTTGGCTCTGTTCTTCTTTGGGGGTGCCATCTTCGGTTACTGGGATGGATGGAGTGAGATGGATGTTGCTTGTGGGTTTTGACTGGCTCGACTGGTTGACCGAGGTTCTCAAGGGAGTTCGCCGAGGAGAGTGATGTCACCTCCACCCTCGATTGATGTGGTATGGACCCTTCAAAGAATCACAGCCACCCCAAGCCACAAAATATTCACAATGTCAAGTTCTTGATTTTCAATCTTCAACCTTCCGCTGGGTACACACACATATTTAAATACATACAAGATGAGGAAGACCCCCTGCTTCAGAGCCAGACTTAAATTGACTTGCAGACTGATACATACATCGTCTTTCCCTCTCCTCGATTTCTTGATCAGTCTTCCTGTTAGCACTCTCACTACTAGACCACGAGCAAGCCAGGTGGTACATATAAAAGGTGAGTAACAGTACCTCGGATTGAGCCCCTGAAGTTGTTCTATCAAACCTCATCTGATTATTTTTGTTTATTTGTCAGGAGAGGCGTTGGTTTTATGAGGTTATATAGCTGAACCGAAGCTCAGCAGTCTACAATTCCTGAGAGCTCGCTCGTCGTCCGATTCAAGAGAATCCTGCTCAACTTATACGCCAGCCGATTATCTGCCTTCTTCTCCTCGCTGCCATCGGCCGGAACAAGATGACATTTCTGAAGAAGGCGACTGAAAAATTGAAGGAAGTTCAAGCGACCTCGATGGAAAAGTTCGGGGAGGCGAAAGCCAAGTTCCCAAACCATCAGCACTCCAGCGCTCAACATCCGATTGGCGGCCCAGGGGCGTTCAACGACCAGCAGTCGTTCTGCCCGAACCCGGATACCAGCTCTGGAGGAGCGGTGAATAACAAGGGCCGGTTCATCATCAGAAATCCGGCGACTGCTCAACTGGAAGTCGAGGGGACCGGTGAAGTAGTCCGGTTTGCAAGTCTGTGCGCACCCGATCTGTTCGACAGCGAGAGCTTCGAAAAGGAGGACACTATGCGGACGATTGCCCAGTCCGGGAAATGGCCGGTGACCCTCACCTATACCCTCAAAGTCAAATCACCCGAATCTCGAGAGGGCACATCAACGGATGGGACCCAGATGTAGAAGATTTCCTCTACGACGAAGACATGTTTGTTTCGATCGACCATACCATCGCATTGGCTGCTCAGTACAACGTCCGACTGATCATCCCCATCATCAACCAAGACTTCGGCTCGGAAGATACGAACTGGGTCGGAAACTTCACCGATCTGATTCGCCATCGCCGAGGCCATCGCAAAGACTGTCATGGTCAGGATTGGTGGAGAGATGAAGAGTGCTTGGACTCGATGAAGAAGATTGTGAGCTTCCTACTCAACCGAGTCAACACCTTCACCGGAGTCCGGATCGGCGACGACCCAACCATTCTGGCTTTTGAGACCGGTAACGAAATGAATTGTGGAGGGCTGCGTCCAGCCCCGGGCGACTGGACCCTCGAAATCGCTCGCCACATCAAGAGCCTCGCCCCGAGGGCCTTAGTCATGGACGGCTCCTTTGCCCGCACCGACGCGATCGAACACAGTCACGACCATCAAGCCCTTCGAAGCGAGCTGGTCGACATCATCAGCTGGCACTACTACGGCTATGGAGAAAAGCGACGAGTCGAGGAGGACGTCAAGGCAGCACGGGCACACGGTACCGCATTCATTTGTGGCGAATACGGCTTCTTTGCCCATGGTCGAGAGTTTGAATCATTCTTGAAACATTGTGATCGACACGGTGCCTGCGGGACCCTAGCCTGGTCTCTGCGTCCCCACTCGGCCAAGGGGGGCTTCAAAACCCATGGCGAAGGCAACGACATATGGTCGTACCATGCACCCGGCTGGAAGCCGGCCCGTCTGTCCACAGGCCACCATCCAGAATGGGACCACAGGGAACGCGACGTCATTCGGGCGATCCGCAAGGCCGCCTTCGACCTAACCAACCAGAAGCCCCCGCCGATCCAGCCCGAGCATCCACCCGAGCTGTTCCTATGTTCAGACGGCGAGAGCTTCACCTGGAGAGGCGTTGCTTGGGCGGACTATTACGAGCTGTGGTTGAGTCCCGTTGGCCAAGGCGAGCAGGAATGGAAGTTCTTCCAGGGCGGGATCACCGATAACATCAAGGAAGGACACCTCAAATACTGTGCTGCTAACATCCTTAGACTCAAGCGTTGTAATAGTTTGTGGATCATCATGAGGGGCATCTCTGCCGATAAGCTTCCCGGCCCGTTCTCTCAACCCTTGCAAATCGGAGGATCTTAAATCTTTTCCGGTAACCTTGGACCCTTCTCACTCAGTTACTTCAAAATCAAGCTATTCAAATTAATCTTTTATCCTTGATTGTACATCGGACACTAGGCATTGGCCCACTACATACCAAGCATACAAGAATCCACTCTGCTCAAGTTTGATACCCTCCATACATGTTTTCTTTTATTTACATGAAAAAAATGAATGAATAATACATGCACTAATTTCAATTGTTGGTCCCTCCATGAGGACCCTGGTGAGCCTCAACCAAGCCTACTTTGTAGCAAAACATTTTTTTTTTTTTTTTTGAAAATGATACTGATGAAAATGACCAGATATGTAGCAGATTGTTTTTTTTTTCTCACCAAGGAAACTTATGTACTTTGTATCCTTTTGGGCATTTTTGAGCTAAAAACAGAGCTTTTGGCTCTCTCAGGTTAGAAAAACCCCTGATCTGAACGGCTGTGGGTTTGATGCCCCAAAGTAATACTTTTTCCACCAATTTTATCATGATCTTGTACTTTCTTCTACATGTGGGGCCTGCAACAATGCTGAAACAGAGGCAAGACATGTATTTGGTATTTGTGTGTACTGGTATCAGTATTTCCTTGGTTGGTGATAAAATCCACTGTCTCAAATTTGTCTTAACACTGCCAAAGCAATTGTGTCAGACAGCTGCATCTGTGATTATATCAGGTATCTCCATGAGATGTTACATCAGTTGGAGTGCCTGATTTAATGTACAAAAATTGAATCAGACACTTCAACTGATTTAAAATCACACAAAAAAATCTGATATAATCACAGATACAGCTATCTGATGCAATTTTGGTGTATGTGTGCACTGTGCAGCAAAGAAATTGAGTCAGATGGCTGTATCTGTGACTATATCAAATATTTTGGTGTGATGTCACATCAGTTCTTTTAATGCTTGGAAATTACATCAGACATTTGAACTGATGTGATATCACGTGGAAATATTTGATGTAAGCACACATAAAGCTATCTGACACAATTGCTTTTGCAGTGCTTTAGCCATGCAAAAAAGATTGTGTTTGTTTTTTGTTTTGTCTTTGTTGATACGGCCATTCCAAATAAAGATGTATTGTCTCAGGAAAGTGAGACAAACGAGGATTGGCATTTTTGGACATTCAAATTCTGAGACAATACAAGTAAAAAACACAAGATATTTTCTTGTCTTGCCTCTATTTTGGTGTGGCCCACAAGAACCAATCCAAAGCCTACAGGTGCAGGTTTGTCAAACGTTTCCAGTCCCCTCCTCACTTGAGTCGGATTTTGAACCCTGTCCACCTACCATTTGTTGCAGTACAAGCAACGGTGGGCCAGCTACGCTAACCGTAGCGTTAGCGTAGCGTAGTGTAGCGATTTTTCGCTACAATTTAGCGTAGCGTTAGCGCTTGTTTCTTTTTTTGCGCTAACGCTACGCAAATGGGGTGAAAACGTGCGCTAACGTTTAGCGTAGCGTTAGCGCGATTCCCCCCCATCTGCGCTAACGCTACACGCACAGGCCGCCAAAAACTGCCCGCTACGCTGCGTTACGGCTGTTTTTAGCGGTTTTTTGCCGCTAAAAACACTGTAGCGTAGCGTAAAAACTGCCCGCTACGCTGTGTTACGGCTGTTTTTAGCGGTTTTTTGCCGTTTTTTGCCGCTAAAAACACTGTAGCGTAGCGGCGCCAGAGGCGCGCTAACACTACACCAAAAAAAGGCTAGTGTTAGCACCGCTACAAATTAGCGTAGCGCAGCGGCCGTAGCGGCGCGCTAACACTACACGAAAAAAAACAAAAATTGGCGCCGCTACGCTAACGCTACATGGGCCCATAGCGTAGTGTAGCGTAGCGGCCCACCACTGGTACAAGTACATACCTCTCCTCGGTTTTGGCAAGGTACAGCAATATTAGAGATGGTTGAAGGGTATCCGTTGTGGAAAGTAAGGCGCGCCCTAGGATATTTATTGCACTTCTCCGCTCCGCAACACATCCTACTCCGATTTGTTGTCCGGGGTAACTTGCTTGATGGTCTTGTAGGTAGGTAGAATAACTGTTCTTTTATTGATATTTGGTAGGTAACACTCTAACTCTATTCTATCTCTAACAATTCTTTAGGCTAATACACAATTCACTCCTAAGTCACTCTGTTTTTCTGATATATTCTGAGTCATAAGTCCCCCCCCTCTTTTCCCCTTCTACTCCGAACTCCACTCTTGCCAGCTATCCCACACAAGTTCTCCTCCTGCTTCCCACGCAGTCCTCCGCTGTCACTCCCTCCTACTCCGTTCGTCACCCCTCCAACACCTGCCAGTCAGTGTACTCCTCCGGCCGCCCTTAGATAGGTCTCCCACCGCCACTTCCGCCTCTGGTCTGTTCAAAACCCCGCTTCCGCCTCTCGGTGCTCCCGCTCCCTTGTAGCCCCTCCGCAGCGTACACTAAACCCCAGTCCGCAGTTGGCCGTGAACCCCAAAGTCCGCCGGTACCCGGATTCCCCGCAGCAAGGTTTTTGGAACCTTGCCCATTCGGCCCGCTTTTCCCCGCTTTCCCGCACCCCGGAAAGCTAGAATTTCTACTAAAGCCTGTCGCTTTCCTCAGCTCCGCATGCTTTCCGCATCAGCCCCGAGAATTCCGCATACGCCCCAAACAAACCGGCCAAAGCGCGCTCTTGCCGCCACACCGTTGCGGATAACCGTTATCTGCTGGCGGATAACTGCCAGTGGATGTCCACTTACCCCTGAAATCCTGGTGGATATCCGGGTATCTCAAGGGATACCCGGTCCCAAGAGGATGAGAGGGGCCGGCTGGAAGGCTCCTTCCAGTTGGCAAGGTACATATACCTTGCCGGCTGGAAGGAAAGAAATTTCGGTCACCAAGGTACATGTACCTCGTTGACTGGAAGGAAACCCTTCCAGCCGGCGAGGTACATGTGCCTTGCCTGTTTGAGGAAAACCCTTCCCATCTGTTGTTGCTTAAATTCTTGTTGTGTACATGTTGTTAGCTCGTGCCCATCAATTGGTAATGGAAGGGTATAACTGGTCCCATGAACAAAACATTGTGACAATCTTCTCAGCTCCTAATTACTGTTATTGATGTGGTAATCAAGCTGCAATCATGGAAGTCAATGAGAATAATAAGTTCACCTTGTTTGTCCATCCTTCCTCCTTTATCCTTTATTTTGGTTTGCTTCAATATGTAAATCATTTTAATTGTTCTTCTTTATTTTCACTTTCTTCTAGCCTGCAATTTGATCCTGCACCTAGAGCTGGCAAACTGTTGGTTTCTAGAAGGGTTCCAGACATCATTGTGAAATTTTCCTTAAGTTCATCATTGACCTTTGAAACTGACTGGGTATTATCTTCTGTTTCTATTTGAGATTGATAATTGATTGTCACTTATTTGTTCATTCTCTTTACAATTTTTACCTTTCTTCAAATGTTATTCTTTTTGATAATTGACATTGATCATATTATCTCCTCACCCCCCCCCCCCAAAAAAAAAGGATATAAAAACAAACAAGAACATAAACTAGAACTAGAGCTCAGAAGCTTTCTTTCTTTCTTTTGATTTTTTTTATCTTTTTTGATTGTTATAATAAATAACCCCATCAGAAATAGTTGTTTAGTTTAACCAATCTCAAGAATTTGTTTTATTGTTTATTATAGATTGTTTTTTTCTTCCCTAGAAAAAAAAAACAGGTTTACAAATGAATTGAAATTTGCTTTTTTTTATACTTTTCATAATGACATGCTTTTTTGTTTTTGGTTGAGTCGATTGAGGAAGTACAGTGGTCTCAAGTTTTCTGGGCAGGACAAGTTGCTATGGCACCGATGCAAGCTCAGCAAATTGAGCTGGAAAAATGTGCAAGGATGTATTATCATGTTCTGAGATTCTGGACAGTTGTGTCAAGAGCCAACCGGAGCTGACTGTTGGCATAGCTCAATCGGACAGAAGGTGGATGTGCAAATATGGAGGCAGGGCCTTGATGGTCCAGGCCGGTTTTTATTCTCAAGCATCCTCTCTTCTCTCATCACTCCCACAGACTTGGCTTGGATGTGTCCTGGCAGCCTGTGAGGACACACAGGCTGAAACTTGACTACATGTTGTATTTTGATCAGCTGGCAACTCTCGCCGGCTGGAAGGAAACCTTTCCAGCCGGCAGTGTGCCTTGCCAACCATATAAAGGGCAGGTATCTGTGGATACCTGCTTGGATACCGGCCAACGGATGCGGATGCGGATTTCCAATTCCTCTGAAAAAGGGAGGGGATATCTGCATCCGGGCAGATATCCGGATGCAGCGGGGACAATATGTATTTTGGGAAAAACCAATCATGAAACAAGTCGTCAGCTCTGGTCTCTTATGTGAACAAGATTTGATGGAGTAATGGGTCACACTATAGCCAAGGAGTGGCCAGTGGAAAATAAGCCTCTCCTCAACACTGGTACAGTGGAGGGGCTAGCTCCTTATAATAATAAGGGACAACTGTGGAATGAGCTTCACAGTGTCTGAGCTGAGTTATTATAAGAGAAATGAGGTTGTACTAGTCTTATAATTTGAATATGTAAATTATAAGGCTAGTAATGAAGACAGAAGAGTAGTGTAATTAATGTAGTAATAGACTATTGTAAAAACCCCACTCACTATTTATTATAATGTAATATCTAGTAAGGTGCTTGGGTTTGTATGGTAATAATGTCTGGGGGATGAATCTCAGGGGAAGAGTCATCCTCTTAAATATTACAGAGCAGGGGTCAAACCAATGGTGGGCCAGCTACGCTAACTGTAGAATTAGTGTGGCTTAGCGCAGCAAAAATATGCTACTTTGTAGTGTAGCATTAGCGACAAACCCACATTTCTGCGCTAAAGCTACTCACAAAGGGCACAAGATTGTGTTAGCTGTTAGCTCAGAAAGTTGGAATTGTGCTAATGCTACGTTCTCAGGGCACAAAAAAGTGCCCACTAACAGCGGTGGGCCGCTACGCTTTTGGCCCAAAAAGCGTAGCATAGCGGCGCTCTTTTTGCGCCAAAATTTTATAGTGTTAGCGCTTTTGTTGCGCATTTTTGCTACGCTACGCTGCGCTACAGCGCTTTTAGCGGAAAAAGCGGCTAAAAACTGCTAAAAACCGCTGTAGCGCAGCATAGTGGGCCCTTTTTTGTGGCCCACACTAGAGATGGTTGAAGGGTATCCGTCGCGGATACCCGTTATCCGTTGCGGATACCCGTTATCCGTTGCGGATACCCGTTATCCGCCGGCGGTTACCCGCCGACGGGTGCGGATGGCCCCTTTTCCGCAAAAAGTTGGCGGGTATCCGGGTGACCCAAAGGATACCCGCGGCCGGAAGGGGAGATGGCCGGCTGGAAGGAGACCCTTCCAGCCGGCGAGGTACTTGTACCTCGTTGACTGGAAAGACACCCTTCCGGTCGACAAGGTACAAGTACCTCGTCGACTGGAAGGACAGCCTTCCAGCCGACAAGGTACTTGCAAGAAAATCAAACTCAAAACACTGTAAAACAAGAATTTGATGCTGCATGGAAAACTTGAGCCAACACAGGGTAAGATAGAGGACTCTCTGATCAGGCTCCGTTTGGCAGTCCATTATATCATAAGAAAAAATATGTAAATCCGGATAATCAGAATAAGGTTGATCAACCGTAAACCAATTATCACAAAGCTAGACAATCATCTGCTTATTACAGTGGATTTTTGGTGTTGTAGCGTGACCAGCCAAACATGATTTTCACTTATGATAATAAATGCTGTCCCCCAAAAAGATTTGCAGGAATTTCCTATGATATTTTATGATATCATGGACGGCCAAACAAAGCCTGAGTTTGATTCACAATTGATTTGAAATTCAACGGTTTGGTGGACATTGTAGCTTGTGAGCTCTAAATCTCAACAAAGTCAAGTAGATCCTACCTTCCAGTAGCTGGGCCAAGCTGTGTTGAAACTACAGTCTGTAAAAAATTGATTACAGTTGCAGACAGCAAAAACCAACCCTGGATTTGGAGGATGTCCGAATAGTTTAGCTGAGAAATTAGATTTTTTTTTTTGTATTTACATGGTTTTCCAGCCCTTTGGGGGCCAATGATTAATATAAAACTGGCTCAGAGTGTCGAATACACACTCCAAGTTGATGCTACAGGCACTTGAAGGACCTCGAAGAGGTATGGGACCATGAATAAGCCTAACTTAAACCCATAGTTATGGGTTTAAGTATGGCTTTTGGTATGCATGTCCGGATACATGTATGTCACACAAATAAAAAAAAAGAACCACTGCAGTAGAAGCTTAGTGGTTACAATTTTGAACTCTACACATCTGTACACAGCCGGAGCAGCTCGACGAGGGGAGTTCGACGAGTGTGCTGTCCTTGGTACTTCGTTCGACCCCGCGCAGGATGACGACGACTGACCCGAGCCCCCGGAGACAGGTCGCTACCTAGCAAGTAGGACCACTTGTCCAGAGGGTCTTTCGACGCCCCACAAAGGGCATGTAATCGGGCATGACGACCCTCACCGTCACTTTTCCAGCAGCTCCATCGACCTTGAGCCTGAATGGACAATGCCATAACTTAAACAAATGACTGATTGCTAATGGTCATCGGGACCGATGCACCCGTTGTCCGATTCTCGACCCTCAGACCGCGGTTGGGTCAACGCTCATTGCGCTTCTGTATGAATGCTTTTCCGGCTCATAACTGAACAGGTTCTGGGTCATTTCAATGCAAAAATGTGATTTATTTGTATATACATTTGCATGATGATTGTAGGAGATGACGATAACACTAGGCTTAAATAACAATATTAATTGAGATACAATTGGACATCCACATCACTTGATTCAACACATCAATCACCAGTAATAGAGCAAAGAGCTCTGAGCACAGGTCAAAATTTGAAAAGAATATTGATCGGTTCAGCATTGGGAAATTCAAAGAAAGTCAATGACCAAGACTTCTTGGAAGTGACCGAGCTCACATTTGTCCGAGAAAGCATTGTTGAGCGTACCCGACTTGATCAGCTTCTACATAATCTGAAAATGTAAACAATCAGTAAGCAGCGGGATAGAATGGCTGGAAAGCAGGTTCTAGACAGGACAGTGATCATGTATTCAGATATCATGAGAGAGAGAGGGAGGAGACTCAGTGGATCTAGTGGGTTCTACCTTCTAGTGGATTGGTGTTGGAAAGAAAGTGGGGAAGGGATGTGACTCTAACTTGCGGTTCAGATTCAGCTCTTTTGACTGTGGAAGGATAGCGAGGATGGGAGGGTGAGGGGAAGCGGGAGCAATAAGAAGAGGAGAGGAAGCGAACATTTGCAGGCAAGGAAGGTCTTAAGAAGTTGAGAACGTCAAGAAATGAGTTGGGGAGAATCTAAAAATGACGTCACTCGAGGATCATGTCTGCCCCTACAGCATCGGATTCGGATCATTGGCAAAACAAT